ATAGTCCAAAGCCTAGGAAATAGAGACCTTAAAGGAATCTTGCTGGGAAATGTCAAGTATTGGTGTGCAGGTAGGCTGTAGCTTTCTAGAAAGATAACTAATTAGCAAAAGTGTTGGGCCAGATGTAAATAAAGGAATCTAAAACCCTGATATTTATCTTGGTTGATGTATCTTAATAACCATACAAGAAAATTGTGTTTTATTAATTTATATTGATTAAGACATAAATTGGAAGTAAAGGAAGTTCTAAAACAATGTCATGACATTTTTACAAGGGTTTTTGACATGTCAAGGCCTGTAGATAGGTAGATATTGATGGATGGTGGCAAATTCAGCAATGAATAGGTCACCAGAATATGCTGTGAGATGGCATCTCCAGTGACATGAACTAGATATTATGGAAAAAAATCACTTACAGTTGAGCACTCTTGGATCCTCGGGGCTCTGGTGAGCAAGCTAGCTTCTCCCACAGTTCTAAGGCTCAAATGAGATACAACATGCCCACTAAGTGTGTTGAGTTCCCCATCTTAGCTCTTAAGTCCCTGCTGACCTTCTCAGAGCCCCACATCAGCAGTGCCCAGCCATGGGAAAGAGCCAGTATTGACTGTGTCCTCTGCCTTTGGGAGACGGTATCTGCTGTGTCAAAGTTCCTTTATCTGTTACCAGTGTTTAGAAATTGTCATTTCATTTCCTACCTGCAAGGCCTAATAATCACCTTAAAAAAATTCTTCCTTTGTATATTCACCACACATCCTGTTCTCAGATGTGGGCCTGAAAACTTGCTGAGAACCTGTCTCCAATGTTGCTCCCTTCACTTTCACTGGAAATACTCTGAAAGAAGCTGGCCACACCTTTGGGTGGAAGGACAAGGAACTAGGTAAATTGCTTGCCCTTCTGAGAAGGCTTCAGAGTCTTTATGACTGTAGTTTCATAGACTCTAACAAAGTATCTTATGTCACCGAGGTTTTTTATATTTGCTGTCATCACTTTCCTTAGACACTTGGACTGTCGCTCAGCAGACCTCCAGGATTTTCCTATAGAGTTTCTATTCTGGCTTTTATCTGGTGGGAATTGATTGCTACAGGACTGGGGCTTTTATCTCAAATCCAGATCACAAATGTACTTAGATCAGGGAAAAGGTGGAGTGCCAGGCCAGGAGTGAGGGAATATGGAAAATTGAAAAGGGAATTGCTACTTTTACATCATCAGCTCCAAAGGAATGTGAATTCCATGGGTTTTATTACCAGTGGAACCAAAGAAAAAGGGTTTTGCTGACAACAAGTGTTAGAGGTATCATTCACTGAAGATTACCAAAACTGTTAGTTCAAGCCGGAGGTGGTTTCTCATAAAAATCATTTGTTCTGACTTGATCAAGTGGAGTTAGAAGGGCTAAGACTCAAGTCCAAACTTGATTATTTTAATGAATAATAGGTCCAAAGCCACATATTCAAAGAAAAGGATAAGTGTGGAATACAAGTGAGTATGTGCCCTTCTGGCCCTTGGAGATTACAGGAAATAATTAACCATGGCATCTGCCCCAGGAGCCTGGAGGGATATTCACATCACCCACAATTGCGTGCATATACCAAGGCTACAGGCAAGGTTTCATAGTTTGCACCAAAACCTCAAATGCAACATCCCTCATCCTGAACTTCTTTGGAATCTACCTCTCAACAATCTTGGACCTTGTTTTACTCATACCCTTATGTTTATAAAGAATTTTATTTAAGATGGCGAAGGATAGAACCTTTATCTTACTCTTTTCATATTTTCCTGGGTGACTAAGTTCTCATTCAATACCAGAGAGAATAGAATGTTTATTCTGAAGTGGGATAGAATGGCCCCAGGATATCCCACCTGTATCTGTGCAAAGGCTAATGCAGCTGAGCAGCTGAGCAGCTGGCCAGGATACAGCTCTAGCTTTCACTGGGCAAACACCACATGGGGCGTCTTCCACTGAGCCCAGAGAGGGTACTGGGCAGCTGGGCTGAGTTCTTTTGCTCCTACTTATCACCCCAGGTTACCACTGGCTTGGAGAAGCTGGTGCCTCTGAGAATGCTCACAAAGCACTCCTCTTGCTGTTTTTATTACTTTGATATGAAGACTAACCAAACTGTCTACCTAACAGAGGCCACAGATTGTCAGTTTTTTCCCTGATACTGTAAATTTCATATCACTTTGTTAATTCTGATATGATTGTTTGAAATCACAGACTTGTTGCTGTTTATTCTCATCTGGGCATGTATCATAGTTACCTGGCCATGTATCTATTCAGCTGTATCATAGTTAACTTCATCCAAATATGGGGTTCGCCATGTTCCACCATGGAGACCCAGATGAGGCTCTGAGACTCTCAACCCAAACAAAAATGGACCAGTTAATGGCTAACGCTTTTCCCACCTGTTTCCTGAGGCACACCTTTGTTTCTCCTCCCTCTTGCCCTTATATCTTATACGCAATCTCCCTCAATTTCTGTTACAAATATACACATATATATTCTTAAAATAGCAATACTATTAAAAATTAAAAGTTACAGTAAAAGATGTACTATTTTATAAGCTGCCAGTTTAAAATACCCTATTAGAGAGAATTCTCCAGGACATCTGGCTCAAAATTGACTCCCCTATAACTATGACCCAGCATTGAGAATAGGTATTTCAAATGTGTGTTTGCTGTCCTTAATCTTACATTTAAAAAAAAAAAAACTTGCTTTGAATGATTAATAAGTGTAAAAGCAGACGCGCTGGCTCTGGCCTTAAACCAAGTCACTATAGGCGTCACTTACAAAGAATTACCATCTAGTTCCTAAAACCTTGAAAATCTCGTGGAGCTTCACTGAGGTCTGGAAGGCAGTAGCAGAGAATTTCCATGCATGACATCATACAGCAAATGCTCTAAAATATACTTTGGTCGTCTCTTTCTATCCCCCAAATTTCACTCAGTGGTTATTTTTAAAAATCAAATCTTCTCTCCAAATTCCCTTCTCTCTGGCAACTTCAGAGCAATAACATTTCCCAAGCAATTTCTGCTTGCCAGGCTGACCCAATAGCCCCTTCTTCGCTCCTTTCAAGAAGCCTGTTTCAAAAGGGGGAGCTTCCCACTACCCCAAGTTTCTCCAGGTGGGGAGTTCCCACCATACTCGTAGCAAATAAAGCCTTTCATCGATTTAAAATTCAACCGCTGCTATCCCAGCCCCACTTCTCAGGGCTAATGAAGAAACAGCTGAATTTCCACTCAAGGAGAAAGAGCTACTGGAAACCATCAAAGAAAGGATGAATTTTATGCACACACCTTCTCATGCTCCTTCTTTCCCAGAAGCATCACAGAGTTTTCAGAGGTGATGTTTTAATGGATTATTTATATAGAAATTATCCTGATCACATAAAGCCTTGCTTCTATAGGCTGCCCACTGAGGTGAAGACATAGCCTTAGAACATAGCATTCTACCTATTGACTTTTTTTTATCTAACTCATTGATGAATTTCTTGCTTATCACCTCTTCCTTTATGCAAAAAAACAGTATGTGAATGTGCTAACATTTATGCATAGCCTATTTGGAAATTCCTAGTGGAGTCCTCTGAATTTTAAATCAAACAGGTAATTTGTGAGATAATTTGAACCCTTGGACATTTAATGAACTGACTTATTTTCTGATCACAAGTTTATAATTAATGAGAAACAATTACAGAAGAGAGCTAACCTGTGGGGGTTTTTTTGTTTTTTGTTGTTGTTTTGTTTTTGTTTTTTAATTTATCATATCCAAGCAGGAAGGGGGGAGGAGAGGAGAATATTTTCTTCCAACACTTCTTCAGATGAGGGTTTTCTACTGCAGAACAGAAAAGATAACAGCTGAAAAAAAAATAGGGGTTAGTGAGGAGTTGGGCTGGAGAAGATAGATTTATTTGAATAGGGAGCTCAGCTCTTTCTGGCCCATTTTAGAGAGGCAATTTCCCTGCTCACTGGAGTTTGGTTTGTAAGGAACAAGTCTTTCTACACAAATAGCTCACTCACCCCTTTCCCATGAAAGTGAATTCATTATAGGAAAGGCCTTCCGTGATGTCACACTAAGGTCATCAGTCAAGGCAATGACAAGGAATGGTTTATTACTGCAGAATAAAAAAGCAGGGGACCTTGAGAATAAACTTGGCTATTCTCCCAGACTTTTTGTTTATCCCCCAGATTTGGGGAGCATCTATTTCTGTAGCCCCATCAAGGAAGTGAGAGTCAGGCTTTACTCTAAATGTTGTGGTTCTTAGCTAGGTTTAAAAATAGAATCATAGGAATTGAAAGGACTTCCAGGGTGTTTTTTGTGTTTTGTTTTTTCCCCCCAGACATTCCCCTAGTTCACAGGGGCCCTTCCCAAACCCTTCGTCAAGCTTATCCTGTTTGCCTGATTGTGAAGAAGAGACATCCCACAGTCTAGTTCCCAGACCACACTGTCCAGGTCAGGAAACTGCTGCCCAGCCAATGCAAGTGTGTTTAGTCCAAGTCCATGCTTTCTCTCAGTAGCACAATGTAAGAGTTAATGAATTAATCTTAAATAATAAAATCTTAGCATATGCAGAGACCTTCCACTGTCATCTAAAATAGTGGTTGCCAACCAAAATTATATTCCAGACTGGTAAAATATGGTTTTCTGTCATTGGCCCTAATCACATAGAGAGAAAAAGGATTTGTAAGAGATAGCAAGAGATTATAAAAAATTCACCAAGTGGTCAAAGAATAAATTTTCAGACTACTGGTTCACCTACACCAGGTTGAGTCCTGGTGCCTAGAGAGCTGCCATTAGATCATTTGGGCAGCTTGTTAAAAGTGCACAATGCGAGGCTCCCCTTCTATCCTAGATTCTCATCCAGTAGGTCTGTATATTGCTAAAGTGCTCCCCTGGTTTCAGGATCTATGTTAAACCAGTACCGGTATCCTAGTCAATGTGGAAAGCTCCCTGCATATCCAGCCCGGCTCTGCTTGAATGCAGAGTGATGGGAGGGCTGGGGGCTAGAGCGATCCATTCCCCCATGAAACAACCTCTTTTTCAAGCAATTTTAATTATTGCAAAATTCCTCCACGTATGAAGATGAAATCTACCTCTCCTTGATTCTTACTCATTGGTTTCAGTTCTACCTTCAGAATAGCCACAGCAAGTGTAAGTCTCTAACAGATGAACTGTTCCAATATTTCTTGATTAGATGTCATGTTTCCTCTCTCCTTCCTAAAACAAAGCAGATCATAACAAACCATGATTCTCTGAAATCCAGAAAAGGGGCCAGAAGCACTCAACAGGACTTTTAAGCCCCATGCCTTGGCCTATGCCCCAGTAAAATAGCCAACTCATAGCTCATTTTGAATTAAAACTTCCTTACTCAGAATGCCTTCCCTTTCTCAAGATCTCTGGGAAACCTCAGATGTGTGCCCCTTTCCCTTCTATGCTATCATTTGCTATTTTTCAAACCTCTTTTGTGCAATCAAGAAGGAACTTCCTTCGAGAGTTTTTGTGGCTGTTAATAATGTAAAATCAATATCACTCCTACTGAGCCCTTATAAGAAACTCAGGGGGAATCTCCAGATAAGGACACTGCTTAGGATGAGAGTTGAAGAAGATGAGGGTCCCAGTTACAGCCTTTATAGAGACAGCATTGTTTCATAGCTCCAAAATCTAGACTGTGCTTTTCTAGGTTAATTCCCACCTTAACAAATATCTAATCTCTTATCAAGGGATGCTCTCAGGTGATCAACCATCTGAAACAACAACTAAAGTAAAAATTGGAACTAAAGTAACGTGTATCTAATTCAGTGCTTGAAGAATTTTGGTTGAACAGAATCGGTCTTGCCCCTTCACCTTTTAGTGTTTCCAAGGTTTTTCTCAAAATGGTTACATGAGAAGTTTCCAGTCTTACTGTGAGGTGGTGTGAATTGCTTTTATTTTCTTAATTTCCTCCAAGCAGGGCAACTCCCAGGGAATACTGACAGTAAAATCCCCAAGCTGAGCACCATTGGAAAGGGGCATCATTGAAGCAGTTACTTTCTAGCCCTTGAGACTGAAAGTTGACCTATTTTTTCAGTTAGGAGGGAGAGCGGGACATTTTTAAAGCGTATCCAAACCTCACTGTGGCATTCCTGGCCTTAGCGAAATGTGGCTAGGCCCCTACCTCCTGGACAAGTAAGTTCACTGGAAGCAGCATGTCATTCCTGGGCTGGAGATTGGCAGGTAACGTTCCTCCACTCCTGCATGGCCTAAAGAAATCCTGAGCTGCATGAAAAATTCTGGTATTTTCTCATTGGCAAGTACTCTCCTGTCAGCCACGTTCTTCCCAAGGAGTCCCATATTTCTTGGATGAGTTCAACATTCTTTCAGTCATGTTCTGGAGATGAGTCACAGGGACCCACGGCAGCAGAGGAGAGTTGCAGAACTGAAGATGAGCATGTGGATTAAATGCTCAGCTTTACATCTTATATTGTGACAAAATGGGTTCAGGGCACATTCCAGCAAAAGGCACTTAAGCATTCTATTATGGGCAACTTTCCACCATCTCCACCCAGAAAAATGAAATGGAGCTTGGGTCTTTCCCATTTAGTCATTCCTGGTCTCTGTCTTCCAAAGCGACTTCCACACAACGTTTTCTCATATTTAAATGATGGTGCCTGGTAAATTACACTTTAAAGTTGACTCAAAAGAAGGATTACATATAATCTGGAAAATGACATAGAGAGAGATGATTATTCTGAGATAATGAGTAATTTCTTGGTGGCTTTTAGGGAATCAATCTCATTACTTCACCATCTCGCTGCAACCAGTCTCATCAGTTAATTTCAGAAAAACAATCACACCTTACCATACATCTTCACTTTTACTTTTTTAGCTCATTCTACCGAGGGAATAAGAGCAACCGGAAAAGAACCTCCTCATCCTTCCCCACCACATGTCCAGGTTCCCTGGCCTATACCCAGGGGTTCTGCCTCTCTTCCTATTGAAATGGATGCATTCTCTGTGTCCTATGTGGGCAAAGCAGAGAATTGGTTCATTTGGTTGGTCAGAGACAGATGTCGCAAAACCTGTGCATCTGGGTGTATGTGGGAAACCTCAGGGAAGGCCTATAATACCAGCCACTTCATTCCCTGGACACATGCTTCTTGATTGCATCTTCTTTGGATAGACAGCAGCATGCTAAAGACACGCAGAAGTGACTAGGGTTACAAATGCCTTGGGTCATAAACTGTGACAACCACAGAACATTCCTGAGTCAGGAGTGTTCCGGCTTTAGTTTCACATTGTTTTCCATCCTGCTTGCCTGTAACAAGTTAAAGTAAAGCAGGCGGGATCTAGATAGATTAGATCATCTCATACTTTGGGATGACTACTGAAAAACACAAACCTTAGTGGATGCCCTGCAGGTCAGAAAGTCGTACTTGCTGGAACAAGAGGAGCTGGGAATTCCTGAAGTCTTGGTAGAATACATTGGGCCAACTGGAGCTACAGTTCTGGTGTTTGCAGAGTCCCATTTCACCCTGTGTTAAAGTGTGGATACTGTTTAGAAGGAAAAGAAAAAAGATAAGCAGAATAATGAGCACCCAAAGCAGGGAGACTTGAGAGTTAGCATCTGAGATTGTACCTGGAAAGAACTAGGAGGTTTTGAGAAGCTACTCTTCGCTGCTCCTGTTTGCTCTTAGAAGAATCTTTCTCAGCTTCTATAGGAGGGCTTACTGATAAAGAGCCATTAAATCAAGTCAAAACCTGAAATTCAGTTTATAAAGCGAGCCCTTCACCCCATCTGGAAAAGCATCAAGGAAGAGGAAATTCTTGCCTTCATTGGTAGCTCTCCTGAAAATATTAGAAGCCTGGGAGGTCCTGCATTGAGCAGCATAATTTTCCCCTGGTCATTGTATAGCCTCATGTAACATCAGGCAGGGGACTCAGGACATCACTAAAATCCATATCTTCTAAATGGGAGTCAACTCAGAGCTATCAAGACACGAACACCATCTTAGTCCGGGCACAGACCCACAACAAAAGGAGTGTCAGTGGTGGTGTACAACGAAGTTGTCAAGACACTTGTTTGCTGTTGAGTTTACCCCTGGAGCTTACATTGGAGAGGGGCACTGGTAAATTGGAGCCTGTGCAAAGGGAAATGGCCAGAATGACCAGGCACTTGGAAATCATTTATTAAGGAAACAAGTGAGGACAGTGAGAAAGCTTGACCCCAAAACAGAAAAAGGAAGAAATGGTGTCATTCCATGTCAGAAGGAATGCTGAGTGAGAAAGGGAACAGACTAATTTTGTGTTGGGTTGTTGGGCAGATGGACAGTAGAAATTTTAGAGAGGCAGATTTAAACACGTGATTGAAAGAATTCTCTCACAATTCAAACTATTGAATTGTGGAAAAGGTTGTTTTATGAGATAATGGTCTGGAAATGGTCAAGGAAATGCTGTCACAGCTGTTACAAGGGGTGGGACTTTGGCACCAGATGACTTATGTGGTTCTGTCTCTCAAATTCTGAAAAAATTTTCTCAAACCATTTAACTCTTTTTTAAATGAAAATTGCACTTCCTTCCTTACTTAAAAATGATATGCCCACCTGTGAGTAAGTAAATTCAGGTGCTCATTGGGTTTATTTACTAGAGAATAAGAATGTGGATTGCAAAAGTAGCCTTCTGCCATGACATTTTTGGAGGGGGCAGGGGTCTGAATTAGAATTGTGCTCTCATATCGCATTCCAGGTCCCAGCAACTTCACAGTGGGCTAAAGGAAGAAGTTGATGCTTTTGCTCAAAGAGAAAAGATATTTTTCTGCTTAGGGGTTGGCGAGCATGCTCTGAGAAAAGAGTGTGACCAAATAAACCTTTGTGACCAGTATTCTATACTGAAAGTATGTCTAGACTTCATGCTTACTTTCCCCTAACTCAGCGGTTCTCAACCTGTGGGTCGCGATCCCTTTGGCGGTCGAACGACCCTTTCACAGGGGTCCCCTAAGACCATCCTGCATATCAGATATTTACATTACAATTCATAACAGTAGCAACATTACAGTTATGAAGTAGCAACGAAAATAATTTTATGGTTGGGTCACAACATGAGGAACTGTATTTAAAGGGCCAGAAGGTTGAGAACCACTGCCCTAACTGATTCAGATTTTGTAACATATGAACATTCTGTGAACCCTCATGAGGGTGATAACTTGTGATTAAAAAGTGCTTATTCACCCTGCTGTCAAAAATATAATAATGGCCCTGGCCATGCAACTTAGTTACTTGGGCATCGTCCCATGCACCGAAAGGTCGCTGGTTCAATTCCCAGTTGGGACACATGCCTGGGTTGTGGGCTCAATCCCAAGTAGGGAGCATGCAGGAGGCAGCCGATCGATATTGCTCTCTCACATTGATGTTTCTCTCTTCTCCCTTCCTCGCTCTCTCAAAATCAATAAACTATTTTTAAAAAGCATAATAAACAATGACCTGCAACAACAACAAAAATCATTATATAAAGATAAAACAAGTTATGTGAACTTCAAAGGCATCTTAAGTGGGGGGAATGTCAAGAGAAATTAACAGCTAAAATAATGAATGTAGGGAATGGCAGTTCCTCCCTTGGCTGGGAACTGGTGGCAGGGCTGGGGACTTGGCAGTTCTAGGATAATTGCATGGACTCAAATTGCATGTGATCTTGAGTTCCATGTGGTAGGAGTATCTTTCTCTTTCCTCTGGTCCAGTAGTTCTTAATGTGACTGTTCATTGGAACCAGTGGAGAAGTTTTTAAAAGACTGATTCTTGGGTCTCATGCCCAGAGATTCTGATGTAATTGATCAAGGGTGTAGCCTGAGCATCAGAATGTCAGGTACTTTCCAGGTCACTGTATACCCAGGGTCCTACCTCTGCTTCATTCTGGAAGCTTTCTTTACCCTGAGGCAAATCTTTCAGCCCCCAAGGTGGAGCACAGTGCATGAGTGAAGGGACAAAGGTGGCCTTCTCAGGGCTACTGTTGTTATTCATTATTCTCAGCCTCAGAACACGAAAGAACAACCAGGAAGAGAGATGCGGGTGCAACTTGGCAGCTGGACTAGGAGTGACTCCCAGTCAGTGGTTCTAGAAAGTAAGATACTAGGGGGAGGAGGATCACTTTTCTTTTAAAACTTAGCACACTTAAATATTCAAAGAAACCTTATTGTGGTGTAAAAAATGATAACAGGCTTAGAATTATTTTAAAAGCTTTTCATTAGTGTGTGGCCTTGATTAGGTTGTTTAAAAAATAATGTTTCAGTTGCCTCTAGAGGCCTTATTTTCAGATTGGCTCTTACCTGATTATAATACAGACAGCAGGCACGGCCTCTGGATTTGATTCTTGTTTCCCATGATGTCACTTTTTCCAGCCACCCATTTGGAACATTTTTATTCTGTGAGTCTGTCCTCGTCAAATGTCAGGCTGCCCAAGAGATAGAAGGAAGGCGGACAGAGGGGAATTGTAGAGATCCGGAGACTTCCATGGGCTCAGGCTATGTGAAAGTACTTGCTAGAAATACCCAGGACATAGGGTGACTCATAGCCCTGCTGAAACATGTTAGCCAGATAACCATCAGAAGGATTTCCTGTTTGCCTCTGAGGGACACAGATGAGAATTGTTTTTCCCTCTGATTTTGCTCATTAGTGTTGCAAGTGGCTCCACTGATGGTGTATCCTTGATTACTTGTCAGAATGCTCTTCTTCTGTTCTGCTGAATCCAAAAGGAAAGATGGGCCTTAGGTCCTTGAATGTGTTTGACACAAGAGACTTTGCCCCTACTAGGGAGAATTGCCACATGGGGCACTTGGAATGGGGGAGAATTCCTGGGCATTTACCCTGGTCCTGGAGCATCCAGGTGGTCAGAATAGGGGCAGGAAAGCACGGTGACAAAGGAGACAGAGTAAATGGCAAAAACAGGTCCAGCGATGGTTACTCTGGACCATCAGCATCATCACTGAGTGAACAAGCAAAAGTTCCACAAGGAGCCTTGCTCAGTCTTTGGAGGCAGAGTTCTGAGATGTGGGTGTGCCTACTCTTGGGCTGCTTCTTATCAAGGCAGGCTCCCTGTTTGGGTGCACTCCTGGAATCTGCTTTGCTAAAAGACTATCTCCCCGCAGTAATTTTGATACACTTTGCAAATAATTGCTTGGATTACATCCACTTCTGGGCTCAATCATTGAACATGTTGAAACTCATGATGTCTAGAATACGAAAACACAGACCTAAGATTTACACTGGAAATGACTTGTACACATGGTAGAGGACAAGGCATGGATAGGAAGAAAAGAGGAGAAGAGCACACTGAGAATAATTTTAAGGTAGCTGGAGGGCGTGAGGCTGCTGACACCTACAGATCGCCTGCCACAAAGCTTCAGCTCACATGTATGTATGTCCAGCATATCCCAGCAATGTATCAGATGTATTGCTCTATCATGATTTAGGCTGCTCTTGATTTTTCAAATGAAATTCACATACCATAAAAATCAGTTTTAAAGTATACAATTAAATAGTGTTTAGTATATTCACAAAGTTGTGCAATGATCCACATTATAATCATCATCTCCTAAAGAAAGCCCCTACACCAGTGGTTCTCAGCCTTTCTAATGCTGTGACACTTTAATACAGTTCCTCATGTTCATTTGTCACTTATGATTTTGATGTCATATCTAAAATTATTTTTGTTGCTACTTCATAACTGTAATTTTGCTACTGTTATAAACCATAATGTAAATATCTGATATGCAGGATGTATTTTCATTGTTACAAATTGAACATAATTAAAGCATAGTGATTGATCACAAAAACAATATGTAATTATATATGTGTTTTCCGATGGTCTTAGGCGACCCCTGTGAAAGGGTCATTCGACCCCCAAAGAGGTCCTGACCCACAGGTTGAGGACTGCTGCCCTACACATTAACAGTCACTCCCTATTCTCTCCTTCCCCAATCCTGGAAACCACTAATCTACTTACTATCTCTATGGATTTGCCTGTTGTGGAAATGCCAGCTAAATAGGATTGTACAATGCAGGGCCTTTTGTGACTGGCTTATTTCATGGATGTCTTCAAGGGTCATCCATGTTGCAATGTGTATCAGGACTTCATTCATTTTTATGTCCCATTGTATGAATATACCACATTTTATTTATTCATCAAATTGATGGACATTTGGGTTGCTAACGCTTTTTGGCTATTATGAATAATGATGCTATGAGTATTTGTGCACACATTTCTGTATAGATATGTTGTCATTTATCTTGGGTATATACCAAAAGTAGAATTTCAGGGTCATGTGGTGACTCTATGTTTAAATTTTTGAGGAACTGAAAATATTTTCCAAAGTGGCTGCACCCTTTTATATTCTACTAGCAATATCTGAGAATTCCAATTTCCCCAAATCCTTGCCAACACTTATCATTGTCTGTCTTTTATTATAGCCATACTAATGGATGTGAAGTGGCAGCTAATTGTGGTTTTTATTTGCATTTCTCTAATGACAAATGATGTTGAGCTTGTTGGCCATCTGTATATCTTTTTTAGAGAAATGTCTATTCATATCCTTTGTCCATTTTTAAATTGGGTTTTTTATCCTTATTGTTGAGTTGTAAGTGTTCTTTGTATATGTTGGGTGTAGACCAGGGGGGGCAAACTTTTTGACTCGAGGGCCACAATGGGTTCTTAAACTGGACCGGAGGGCTGGAACAAAAGCATGGATGGAGTGTTTGTGTGAACTATTATAAATTCAAAGTAAACATCATTACATAAAAGGGTACGGTCTTTTTTTTTTTTTTTTTTAGTTTTATTCATTTCAAACGGGCCAGATCCAGCCCACGGGCCGTAGTTTGCCCACGGCTGGTGTAGACCCATTATCATATATTATTTGCAAATACTTTCATTTTGTGGATTGTACTTTCAATTTCTTGATGGTAATATTTGTAGCACAAAAGCTTTGAATTTTGATTTAGTCCAATTTCTTTTCTCTTTGTTTTCTTTGTCACTTGTGATTTTGATGTCATATCTAAAAAAGTACTTCCTAACCCAAAGTCATGAAGATTTACTCCTATATTTCTTCTAAGAGCCTTATTTATTTATTTTTTAGCTCTTACACATGTGTTGATGATCTACTTTGAGTTAATTTGTCACGTATAGTGTGAATTAGAGGTCCAACCCCATTCTTTTGCCTGTGACTATCCAGTTGTCCCAGCACCATTTGTTGGAAAGACTGTTACCTCCCCACTCAGCTGACATGGCATGCTTGTTGAAAATCAATTACTATAAATCTTCAGGGTTCTCTGCATTTTCATATAAATTTTAGGACCAGTTTGTCAATTCATGTTTAAAAAAAAAAGCAGCTGGAACTATAATAACTCTTTGAAGGATGTTCTGGTTGTTTCCACTTTGAGGCTATTATGACTAATGCTACTATGAATTATTATGCACACATTTCTGTGTGAATATGTTTTAATTTCTCTTGACTATATATTAGAAGTGGAATTACAGGGTCATAATCTATGTTTAAACTTTTGAGGAACTGGAAGTATTTTCCAAATGGGCTGCAGCCTTTTATATGTCATTTCACTGATGCTTTTAAATTTTTTTTTTTTTTGTAATGTATCCAACGTTACTTAATTGTTACCATGGGGATTTTGTCTTGGCTTTCTCAGCTCACTTTTGAGGCTGCATTAGTATTATGTGTGATACCCCTAGGAGAGTTTGCTTTTAAAATATAAATATGTCCCAGTAAACCATGTGTCTTCATCTGGGATGTGAAAAATATGTCTTTGCCACATTAACTTTCTGTAGGCAAGCTTTTTCTCTTACTGCTTTTTCCTGAGAGCTATAGCCATGACTGTCATCTCCTCTCCTCACTCAAAGACATATGACTTAATTATTCTTCATTTTTGTTTTCTTTGGGTCATAAAGTCCGTAGCCTACTGGCTATCCAAAAATGGTTAGGTGTGGGGTTGTAGCTCAGTGGTACAGCATATGACTGCAAAAATGATCAATTTTTTCTTAGTAAGAAGCAGCAGCTAATTTTTGAAAGGAGAGCAATGACTGGTTTTAGGCTTTGAATGTCATTTTTATTCTAAGGGTAAGATTTCTCCAGCCCTGTGTTTCCTTCCACTCTCTCCACCCTCATCCCACCCCAAAGAGAATCACTAATTATAGCAAACTTTTCAGGGTGCTGTTAATGTGTGGAGAGTGTATCATATGCTAGGTATCAATGAGTCCTTCCATCCATCTGATCACACATATTTTTAAATAGGTAAATTCTGGAAAACTCCACAAAAGGAACAATCTCCCAATTAAATTCTACTGTTGTTTTATTTGAGCTTCACCTTTGAGTTAAAGTACCTCCCCCACAAGTCCCCCTAATAATATCAACTATCAAATACAGATCATGTATTTAATCAATGGGCTTGTTAATTTATTGAATTGCTTTCAAATTCATTCATTTATTCATTCATCAACATATGCATGCTTTATTTCAACAAATATTTACTGAGTTCCAGACAGTGAGTTAGACATTTGTGATTTAAAGATGAGTGAAATGTTGATCATGCCTGGTCCAAGTTCATAATTTAGTGGGGGTGAGGGAGAATAGACACAAAAATTTGCAATTTTGAAATAAAATGAATTCAGTGATAGTACAAGGTGTTGTGGGCCACTGATGGTGGCAGGAATAGTAAGGAAAAAAATAGAACCATAAGGCAATAGGACCTGGAAAGGTAAGTTTTGATGGAGGGGAAGTGAATAGAAGCAAGAGAGAAAAAACAAGAATATTTTTAGAGGTAGAGCTTAAGGGAAACAAAATATGTTATCATTGCATGCATAGTGAAGACTAAATAATGGAAAAAGGGACACTCACGTGATTTTGTCACCTTCTTCACAAGTTGCCCTGGACCAATTCAGTGGTCAGGGTTCTCTTCTTTGATCACACCTTTCCCAATGTAGTCACAAATCCTCTGATTCAGGGCATTCCTTATCTGTAGTGATGCATAGTTAGCAGTTGACAATCAGTAATTATATTGAACAAGAAGGAAGAGCTCTTCTCTTTGCTAAAACATTCTAATCTTACTCCAGTCTCACATTGTTCTCCTCGGTGGATATTATTCCCTTCCTGCCACTAGAGGGAAATGTCAACATTTTTTTTTCTTCCTTTAACCAGAGGCAGCCTTCCTAAAGAAAGGCCCTGGCCCCATCCAGTTCCAGACTGTTCCTCCTGGAGAGCATACAGGATGTCACACTTTCACACTTCCAGTCAGGCTCTGGAGAAAGAAAGCAGCCTCTTAATAATATGCTTTGACAGTTCTTACTATTTTCTCTTTAGTCTTAGAAACCAAATCCTACTATAGCTGCTCCCGCTATCCGCAAACACACACACATACACAGACACATGCTCACACACATGCACTCACACCATCACATGTTAGCACGAAGGTGTTTCCTCTGTTCTTTATTCTCTTTTCAAATACAAGG